TTGTATGTTTTTATTGTATAAACATATTTGGAATATTATACACACATATATATATATATAAGTAGGTAAGTCTTTAGGATAGTAATAAAAATAAATGTATCATATTTGTATATTAAAATTTAAAAAAAAGTCTTAGAATAGATCCTTAATCGATTATACTTATCGAACGTAGGGGAAGCCATAGGACGCAGTTAAAACCGCGTCACCAACGTACCAAACTAAAGAAAATTAAACAAACGGAAACTCAAGAGCGCCATCTTCAAAGCCTATCTTTAAATTTACTTAAATCTAACAACATTCCTTTCCTCAAACTCGAGCCATTGGCTCGATATCTAAACAATTTTTGCACACAGGTTTTCTTATATTGTACTGTCATATGTTGATTTGCCTCCACTCACACGTATTATGTTTATTGGCCGAGGCCCTTACATCCGCAAATCTATCGCGTGACGATCGTCGCTAAGGACAGACATTGAAACGGAATGAGATGAAGCGATAGCGAGCGACGATTCGGACGCATTGACATAAACGTATTTAGATTCGGGGTTTACATTATTAAGAAAACAGGAGAGTTTTTACTCTTTCCATAATGTAATTTTCAAAAATTTTGCATAATAGCAACTGTTGCCAAGAATGAGTATTATAAAAAAGCCATTAATATCCCGAAAAAATCACATGTTTATGTAGTTAAATGTATCTTCCGCGAATATGGAAATTTTACGCCTATGCAATGTGACCGCTGACTTCTCAAGTTACGGGTTCCTAGAGGGGATTAGGATTAGGTGGAGCGAACGCACAGTCCCTCTGCCGCTCCGTCGGATCAGTTTGTCGGTGCTCGGCAACTTACCAGCAACGGACAGTACATTTATTGGCGTGTTTATTCTGTGCGTAACTGACACCTGACACCGCGACCGTTACTCTGTTGAGGTTATTCTTTTCTATTTCATAGTAACGGCCGTCGGCATAACCCCTCAAGGTGATCGAATGTGCGTTATACCAAATTCGAATCTAACAACAATTTATTATATTTTATATATTTATTATATGATTCCTGGAGAATATCATCGACATCATCTATGCAGTAAAGATTCGATGAAAGCGAAACGCACGGAACCGAACTACAGTGCCGAACAAAAGTATTAGTATAATCCGGATTTCTATGTAACATCCTGTGTAAAGTTTTAAAATATACGATTTATTATTCAATTCTTTTTGCTGCACTTCGGCTTAGGCCACCAAAAATTTTTGGTTAGAATATATCAAATCTTATAGTTTTCGACCTGAAACATTCTAAAATGCAAGTTAAAAGTTTAGGAAACCAATAGTTTAAAAGATACAATAGGGAAGAATACCATTTTTCAGAAATATTTTTATTCGAATGTTTATATTTGGTTTTTATTGTAATTTTTTGTTTGTGATTTTTAAATGCAAAAATGACTGAGAAAAAAATTATTAAAAATAATGATTTTTGAATCGACCAAAAACGCGGTAAAACCACGTACTCGCCGGTGACGTCATATGGCATATAACCCCGAATACAGCGTATACGTTTACATAGCAAACTAACGAAGTGATTAAAAATCTGCAACTATGAGTGAACAACAAACGTACCGTTGGTGCTTTGTACCATTGTGTTTAAATACACAACTCAAAAATTCACAAAAACTTTTTATTCAAGTGCCAAGAAATGAAAAGGTGTGGAATTTGTGGTTTAAGGCAGCTCATCGAACAGATCAACCAACAAGCTTAAACTACTACTGTTGTGAAGATCATTTTAACGTAAATATTAAGAAAATAATTATGATTATAAACTTGAGCTTAATAATAAATAATAATAAAGAAAATAGTTACAGGGAGACATGGAAAATTATACCCGCTACAGACTGATGGGGGGTTCAATTACGATGAAGCAGGGTGTGGTGCCACATATTTTTGATTGCTATCCCGGTCGCAGTACTGCCAAAAGTTCTGAACCTCGACCTGGCTTCGTAAAGTTAAATAGAAAAAGAACAGTTGCAGAGATGTTGGCAGATGAGAATTGTCCTCCGAATTTTGATACCGATGCAGTACCATCTTCCAAGCAACTGGAATATTTACCTGCACCTCAAGAAAGAACAGCAGAAACAGTTACTGCAGAAACAGTCACTGCAGTAATTAAAAATAAGGAACCTGAGCAGACTCTCATAAAAAAACATTTTAGGAGCAAGGCAATAACTGCTAAACCTTCTACGTCTACAGCAGGATGTTTAGCGAAACCAATTATGGTCGATAGACAATGTTCGCCAATAAATCTGCCTACCACATCTTCTTGGATTGTCTGCAAGTGGTGCAAGTAAAATATTTAAAAGAAGTGTCCACAAAATTGCACATGTCCTAAAGACATTAATTTATTATCCTGATAAGGATAATTTGAAAAAAACCTACCAATACCATTTAGGTTAAATTTTAGTGAAGTTGCTGGTATTATTGATTATTTTGAAATTCAAATTGAAAAACCACAGAATGCGATACATCAAGCTCTGACCTGGTTAGAATACAAAAAATGCAATACCTTAAAGTATTTGATTTGTATATTAGCAGATGAACTGATAACATTTATTTCAACGGGATATGGAGGCAGAGTTAGTGATGTGGAGTTGTTTGATCAATGCAAAATAATGGACGTGTTGTCAGATAAATGCCAAATAATGGCGGATAGAGGATTCAAGCAAATTCAAACAATCCTACAAAGGAAACAAATTGAACTTGTTCGACCTCTGTCTGTCTCAACTCAGCAGAAATCTTCAAAAGAAGAAGTATTATTAACTAAACGCATTGCGAGTTTAAGAATTCACATTGATAGAGTGAACCACATGCCACTATTGATCATTATACAATACCATATATAGATTCAGTAGTAAAAATAGCATCTGCCTAAAGGGGGTAGACACGGGTAATAGTAGCGCGTTGACTTTATCGGCAAAAATGGGCCTAAACATGGGTTTTCGGGATTCGACTTTTCGTCCTTATATGAGAGAATTTCGGGCTGGGTGAGGGCTTATTCGAAAGAGGAAGGTCCTGTGCAGTACGGTCAACTCATGTTTCAGTGGAATTATATTGATGTTTAGTAATACAAGCGTCCAAAGTAGAGAAAAAAATCGACAAAATGCAGTCGCGGAATCGAAGCATTTTTCGGCCACTAAAACAGTGCTGTGGTTGAAATCATGAGTTGACCGTACTACATTGGACCTTCCTCTTTCGAATAAGCCCTCACCCAGCCCCAAATCTTCTCATATAAGGACGAAAAGTCGAATCCCGTAAAAGCATTCCTACAGACCAGTTCCGCCATTTTGTGGATAATACAGAGCAAGTCACGTGACAAATTGAGTTCAGCTAGTAGTTATAAGGTGGCGTCTAACTAAGAAGGCTGTCGATTTGGAATCGTAGCCAAAATCAGGCATTAGCTTGGTTACGTCACTCGACTGTGTCAGCGAAGGCAAACGAAAAAGGCAACAACGCCCGAGCGCTGAGTGAGACGCACTACAGTCATGCTGTCCTTCTCTCATTCTGAATGTTGAGATCGTCCCTTTTCGCTAAGTTTTGACTGACGCCCGCCTGGATTTTTCACAGCGCCCCATAACAAACCTTGCTCAAAGAGTAGGTATAACAAGAGAAGAATATACCTCCTCTTTGCAATAATTCTGCAAATGTTTACATACATAGGTTGTATATGAGATATTTATTTATTTAAATTATTTGCATTCACTCAGAATATTGACTAACACTCCTTTGTATTTTTTATTAGTTTCGAAAAACAAAGTTACTATAGGTTTTTGGAAATACAAACGTCACGCAATTGGGACGAAGTATATCTTTTTGGTAAGAGATAGGAAAAAGCTATTGATGTAAAAGTTGAATGGTATGACTTATGAAAAATATGAGATATCTCACGAAATATTAGTTTTTTAAACATTGTACTGTTAGATATAGGTGATAGGTAATAGTGAGAGGGAATAGTAGCGAGGGGAGAGAAGGAGAGAAGGAGCCGAGGCCCCTCCATTTATTAGTTCTAATACTACTTTTTTATCCAGAATTTTCCAAGGAGTTGGTACGAGTAAAGAAAAATGCAATTCTATTTAAACAAAAAGTGCATCTGCATTTTTTTAAAGCATCGTTGCATTCACGAAAAAAATGAAGTCATAGAAAAATAAACATTATCATACCATTGAACTTTTACATAAACAGCTGTTTCCTATCTCTTACCAAATTCAAGATATAACCCGTCCCAATTGCATGACGTATCCTGTATGGTCAGTCAGAATTTACCGGAGCGGGACAATTCTATTATTTAGGTTGAAAGAAGGATAGCATGATCACCCTACATCTCACTCTAACCACGCGCCAATGTTTCGCTTTCGTTCTTCAGGCGGATCGTCGCGATGCCTCTAGCGAGATGAGCGTTTGAATGTGTTGTAAAAATACTTGAGGCGCTGTTGCCTTCCTAGATCATGTTGCGCGCACACTAACTGAGAATTAAACCTTTCAAGTTCGTAACAGACCACGCAAGTGGCTCCACCAGGCCCAACGAAAAAACTGCTGTAATACCGACATCCCGAATCGGAAAGGTCACGTGCCGTGTCTACCCCCTTAATCAATTTGCAAAACCCAGTTATTGATACATGATATATGATAATGCTGATAACTTTATTTTATTTCTTAATAATGTAATTTATGTAAATATATTATTTTTTCCTTAAACAAAGATATCTTGTTACTTATAGCTCCTAGTACACACCTGGAAATGAATGGTAATGGTAAAGTGAGGTAGAAAAGAAAATTATTTTCTTTGCAATGATACATTTTATTTTGTACAAAAATAATTTGTAGTTATTGAAAGTTGTGTAAATTTTATTTTAAAATTGAATTTTGCATTTTAGGATAGATATCTTCTTTCCAAAAACTCATTGTTTTATTTACTAAATCTGATGTATAATTTTTATCAGAATCTACCCATAGTAAATTTACTTTTCTGCTCTTTCAAATTCTGGATCTGCGACACAGAATAATCCTTTGTTTGTTTTCGTAGCAAACATTTGTATTTGAACTTGTGCTTTGTATTTACAGGTTATTTCGTTATTGGATATGTATTGGGAGAAGGTTTTGTCCGAACCGGGGCATTTCACCTCAACCACAAAATTTTCTCCCATTGCATCTGGAGAGGCTCCAAGCATTGGGCATTGTGGTATCAATATAATACCACATTTCTTCAATTTTTTATTTATTAATTTTTCCACTTCTGCAATCACAGTCTTTTCTAAATTTTTTCCTCGTCGCGTTAAGGCCGAGTCAAATTTCTTAGCTGCATGGAAGCGAAATTGCGTGGTCTGAGAGGACGGAGAGTGAGACACGCACCTTAATTACAAATTAACAAAGTTTTATTTACACTATATACAATTATACAATAAAGCGCAATACACATAAATGCGTGGACAGAGAAGAACTCGAATCGCGTGTTCAAAATGGCGGACTTGCAACGTAATTCTCACGTGGACCGAAAAGCACGTGGTTATACGGCGAGCGTACGAACAAGAAGGACACGATCGATGATGGCGTCGATCGTGCCGGCAAGCGCGTGGAGAGGGGACCGCGTGGACAAAGTGGGCCCGAGAGGTGCTGCCGCTATCGGTAACGACGCACCGACGAAATACTTTCGTTGCCAACTTCGTGGGCCGAGACAATTTGGGGAATGTCGCCAACACTGCACCAAGAATTTTATTGGTGAAACTCCCATCTGTAGTTCTACAATGAGCTGCTTCATCCATAACAGATGCAGTAATTTTGCCATAGCGGAGCTCATACCATAAGGAACTTTCGCTTTGCTGCCTTGTTTCTACTTCCACTTTGGAAATCAATTGTGGTGTCATTTTTGACGTAGCAAATTGTATAAAATCATTAGCAGCACTTCCTCCATTCTTAAGGAATGCTATTAGCAAGTGATGTAAGGATAATGAATAACATTCTCGCTCTAATAATTCGAAGTTGTGTCTAGACAGCTGGCTATCTATTTGCTTTTCTTCGGCTTTCTTTAAAATATTTTGTAAAAATGTAGAGTTGTCAGGTAGAACAGTGCTCGGAATTTCTTCCTTGCACAATTCTGTCGCTTCTACAAATTTCTTTGTTGTCCCAACTGTTCCTAATATTGGTTTATTTCAATAATATTCCACTTCTGTTGGAGAACGCTGCTCACTTTTGCAGTGGAGCCACATTAAAAATGCTAATGCATGTTTACATCCTCCTAAAAGAAGAAAAACAGTTATATATTATATATCATACAACATTTTTACAGATATTAATACAAACAATGTTAACGTGTCTTACAATATATAACTTACTGTTTTAAGAAGAAATATAGGATATTACCTTGCGATACAGCACAATCTTCACAATTTACTTCTTGTATAGTTTCATCTGCTTCGTTTACCACCAAAGTTACTGCATATCTTTTACTTTTTACTCGGTGCTCTGGACATATTTTTCCTTTTATTGTGCAGATAGACAACTCTCTCCGTAAGCAAACGTAGCCTATTGCACTGTCTCCGTAACTTTCCCGACTAGATCTATATTGACAATATTTTTGAGCATATTAAAAGCTATTAAAATGATTGTTATTGATGTTACAATTATTTATTGATCAATATGTGTATTTTATTATTACTTACAATGATGCTTCCACTAATCGCATCTCAGCTATCATTATACCTATCATCGGTTTTCATAAATTCAGCCACCATAAACACATCGATGTTGGGTAAATTTGTTGAATCAACTTTCACGAATCCCGGTTCAACCATTTTACTTCAATATATGAAGCAAACAATAATAAATAACAAATAATGTTTGAAGTATAACTGAGTGTAGCGTGGTGTAGCGTGGTGTAGCGTGGTATAGCGTGGTATAGCGTGGTACAGTAAAAGCTGGATATATGCAACAAAAGTTTGGCTGGATATATGCAACATCGCTATCCCCTCCACTTGGGGGGATCCCCCTAGGCGAACCGAGCCACTCGGCGAGGAAACCGTGTAATATGATCCGACCGTAATATCGGTGTGACTAATACTAATTGAACGATAAAACTTTTTTACTTTTAACTTTTTCTTAATGAAACTTTTACTAACGCATTTGTGAGATTTTTCTGATTAAAATGACACCAAACACGATATAGTTTGAATTATATTTATTTGTTAAAATAATAATAAAAGGATAATAAAAAATAGTAGTGTACATTATAATAAATATTGTAGTATTCTGATTAAAATGATACTAAACACGATATAGTTTGAATAATATTTATTTATTTATTTATTTCAAGTGCAGCGCACTCGGTGAGGAGACACAAGATAGGGGGAGCGCGAATAGGATAATGGAAAATGAGAAAAGTCAAAATACCCTTCCATTCGCCTCCCGTAGGGGAATTTCTTCCAAGTGTGGCACACTGAACGGGAAACGCAAGGTCAGGTTATGAAAAAGATAACCCGGACGTAACAGATTTCTTCTCTCGTTTTAAAAAAGAAATTGTTTTTAGATTTTTCGCACTCGTTCTTTGGCATTCTTTTTGGTGGGGCACACTCGTGAAAGAGCGCCTGCGGCGGTATTTTCTTTGCCTTTTTTGTATTCTATATCGTAATCATACTCTTCGAGTCTCAATCGCCATCTCATGAGTCTAGAAGAGGGATCTTTAACATCCTTTAACCATTTTAGTGCTTGGTGATCAATCTGAATTATGAATTTTCTTCCTAACAGGTATTGTCTAAGTCTCTTGGTGCCCCAGACTATTGCGAGTAGCTCTTTCTAGCTTGTACTGTAATTCTTTTCAGGAGGATTTACCATATATTGATCCTTTGATCATCTAGATAGATGGCAAGCCCCATTTCTTCAAACTTCCGTAGCGACAGTAAATTTTCCCGGAGAGTCTCAGCAAATATAACTTTGTCTATCTCTAAAGTTCTACCACTCTTTAACCCAACCTCGATTTTCCTTGTTCTATTCATTCTTAAATTTGTTGAGTTACTTTTGTTAACACATTTGATTACACCATAATCGCTTTCATGAAGGGTTTTAAACATGATCTTATAATTTGTTATATGCTCTGTCGCACCTGAGTTTGTTATAAATTCTGGCATAGATCTAACCTGATTTTCAATATTACTACAATATTACTTCAATATTAATAGACTCATTGGATTCCTATCCGTAATTTAATTTTTTTAACTATGGCGCACCTCTCCAAAAAGCTGAAAAAAATTGAGGATGATAGTATCAATAATATACACTTATAAAAAAAATATGATCGTAGGACCTCACCTCCTTCAATAAAAAATCGCGATTTTTCAGCAATTTTTGACGTTTTTGATTTTTCACGGCTTCAGTTTTCAATCTAAAAATCTAAAAAAATTCTGTAATATGTGCCTCACAAATGGAAATGTCTCTGATTTTTTTTCAGAATTTTCAAATGTCATTAAATGGGAGAAACTGGCCAAAAACCTCGCAATTACATTTTTACCCGTAACTACCCTCCCAGATGAGATACAGGGTTGAAACTTGGCACAGACTGTTTTTTTTTTAATCACCTATCGAATGGTTCATAGCAAGTCGAATTTGGTTTGGGGGGGGGGGGGGGGGTTGACCATCTTATTCGGTTATACCCTTTAATATTATTATTCAGCTTATATTGTTGCCTCATATACCCACCGTTATTGACTATTTCTAATTTCAAAGTGTCTTTGTTCTCTTTATCTTTGGATTGACTCAATTTTACGTTTCTCAAATTTTCAATTTCTGACCTAACTACGTTTGCAGTTTCTTTCTTGAAATCAGACTCTCCTCGACCATTCAGACTGTTGTTTATGTTTGTATTTGGTCTTTGAATCTCTTTCCTTTAGATTTCTTACCTCGTATTGCTGTTCGCTGGACCTCTCACAAGGAGATGCTACGAAGTGCTAACTCGACTTTCGAATGAGCTGTAGTGCATTCGAAAGGGGAGGTCAATAGTACAAATCGTGTTAAGGGTTTTGGGTGTTTGGGCCTTACTTTTTGAGAAAATTGCATAAATATCTATGCATTTTTTCAGCTGTACTATAAATAGAATGAATAGTTAAATGTCAGCATGAACCGAAATAGTCGAGCAGGTTAAATGCCCGTGCAGCCACTATTTTGTAATCTATGCAAGCTCGGTTCAAGACAGCATTCTGATAATTTTTTTTTTTCTTTTTAGATTATTCTATTCATGAATTGATTTTTTTCATTCTTTGCAGTAATAACAAACGATTTATTACGTGGTATTATTTCTGTATGTAGTTTTATTATGTTATTTGTTATAAAATTCTGTCATGGCTGTGCAATGTTGCGGATGAAATTTTACATAAAAACAATTAAAACATAAATAATTTGTACACCATGAATAAGTTATGAATGAAAAGCGGAAATTACATATACATTTTTTTGTTATGTATATCAGGTGGAAAACATAACTGATTTACATTATAAAATATATCGCGTTCATTCTCTAACTTTGACGCGTACCAAGCGAATTGGATCATTTTCTTAAATAGTGGTGCAGATAATAAATAATGAATTAAAGATTGAATGCTTATGGCGTCATATCGTGTGTTCAACTCCTTCTTTTCTCTGTCAGCCATAATGTGTTGTGAATAATTTTGAATCCGTTTATTCAAAATTTTGACCTGTCTATAAAAATATACATCGCAAGGTTGACAGATCGGAGTACACTTTGGCGGTATTATTTGTAAATTGCACGTTGGTCGGTTTTCACTATTTACAAAAATTTCATTGTACATATGAATATTTTTATGCCCCCCCCCCCAAGAGTCAACAATCATTAAAAAAGGATTGTTTCCAACATACGGTTTTATAACTTTCTCTAAATATTTTTTATACAAATCTGAACTCAGTTTACCTGACTTTGAACAAACGACAATAACGTTTTTACACAATTTTAAGATTTCGTTAACTTCTGCTTTGACACGGACTCCAAACGCATCTCCCGATTCTTGCAAACATACAAACACTTTAGGTAATAACTTTCCAGATTTTGTCAATGAATATTGAGCAGTGTATGAATGTGTTATTTTATTTAAATCACCTATGAAAAGTTCGACTGTTTTTTGACCCGTATGTGTGTATGTTCTTGCAACATTTATTCGATATTCGCAGCCAGTTTGATCTGTATTTATAATATAATCAGAATCATAATCATTAGGAATTGACTGTATTAAATTTTGAAATTGTATCGCAGATTTCATAATTTCTTCCGGCGATGTAATTTCTTTGTTCGATACATAACGTACAACACGACGATTCGAAATTCTGTAAACTTTAAGAAAGTTTGTTATCCACGATGCCGATGTTGTAAATTGAAAATTGCTTCCATCTTCGTTAACTGCATCCCGAAATTGCATCGCAGCATCCATAGCCCACTGCTGTAATTGTCGTCTTGTCACTAATTGTTCCCGCCTACGTGTTTCTATGAATTGATCGTAGACATTTTTTTTTTATAATTTCCATTTTATCCATATATGTACCACCTTTTATTATGTCTTTTCTAAAGCGTGCGGTATCGGTTTTGTGGCGTAAATGACGTTTAAATCGTGTTTGTAGACCATAAAAACTCCATGTGGGATGTTTGTTTACGGTCATGACAATTTTCAATTTAATATCAAAGGGCACCCTGTCCAGAGACGAAATATTTTTACAAGATGGCACATATTCTTTCTCCAACGTTGGCGGAGTCAATTTCTGTTCCTCTTCTTCGTTCGACGAAAAATATTCCACTTCCTCTGCCATCGTCTACTCTCTCAACATTTTAACAAAATTTTCAAATAATTTTCCTGCAACTTCTTTGGCAGAGCGTGTAAATTTCTTTGGTGGTTCGGCATAAATTAACTCAAATTTCATCAAAATATCTAAACAGAAATGAAATATTCGTATGTATTTGTTGCAAATGTTAATAAAATATGTTCTACGTGTGTTTATAAAAATATACAATATATATAATATGACTCTTATTGTTAAAATATCTACCTTTAAAATATGCGATATTATCGGTTAAATCTTCTTTTGAATTTCCGGTGCCCGGACCACACCACGAGGAGGAGGGGTTGGCACATGTCACCGCTGGGGCTGGCTGCAAAGCCCCGAACGGCATCTTTGTGGTCCTACCATGTCATAGGTTATTGTCAGTAGAGAGCCTTGTGGGGTTGGGAAACCCGCTCTGCCGTTCCGAAGCTTTCGCTTATACCGGCGGTGTTAGATGGGGCATAGCGCTTGAATTACTTACCACCCAACTCAACCCCCTTACCAAGGGAAGACGGGCCGGAGCAATCCCGCTCATGGTGAACCAATCATCGCACGAGGGAGAAGACACAACACCAAACTCTTCGTCGGCGTGTAAGGAGTTTTGCTCTAGGACGCTCTGACTTTATCAAGCTTACCTGCGTGGTCTCAGCTCATCCCACCAGGCGCTTAACGTCCACAGCCAGAGCCCCGTTTGCCACCGGTAAACCGGTGCCCGGGCCACACCACGAGGAGGAGGGGTTGGCACATGTCACTGCTGGGGCTGTTCTGCAAGGCCCCGAACGGCATCTTTGTGGCCCTACCATGTCATAGACCCGCTGAATCTGAATTGCATGATTTTCCCTCACCGTTTGTCTCAGATCTCTTGTTCTTTGATTTTCTGTCATCCTCTCCTCTCGCCACGATGTCAATTCCTTTCTCACCTCACACATCATGTCGTTAACGTTTACCATCACAGTCTCTATTTTCTTAACAGACTCCTGGTACTGACTTAGGGCCTGAGCTGAGATCTCGCATAGTTTGTTGACAGACTTCTGTCGTCTATTTCTCTTGTTGCGCTACTCTGACCAAAGCTGAAATATTACCTATGTTAGTTTTTGTTCTACTGCTCGAGGGTTTTCATAAAATTCATTCGTTTGGGGTCAGATTCGATCTTTACGTGATCTATAATTCGGGGACCTTGTTCAGGTTTACCTGTTTTTGTTGCGTCAATTGCCTCCCTTATTTATCTCCTACTTTCCTTGCTCTCCTTTAGCTCATCTACCCTCTCCTTTCCCTCGCCTTCCTCACTCTCCTTCCCACCGCTCGTATCCAAGTCTATCATCTTCTCATCTTTCCCCTCGCCTCCGCACCCTTGGATCAATTGCGCCAGTCTCCTGCTTTTTCCTGGGCATTGTCGTTGGCTTGCCGAACAATAATCCCTCTTCGTGCCACGTAGCTAGGCAATTCCACGAATTCTCCTTCAGCATTCTTTTGCCTGCACGAGAAGTGTTTGTTTTCTATGAGATTTGCCTAGGAAATTCTCCTGGAGCCAGCCAACCGAACTACAGGTCTAGCTAGTTCCAAGAGGAACGAATACATGAGGACCCGTGCAACAAAATCTCTCCTGTATCCATCCCAGTCCTCAGGGGCATGTGAGCCGAACAACAGGCCCACATGACCCCCAGAGTTTCAGAATTTACTTTTATATACAGTGGCCGAAATTATGTTAGCTTCACCTTATTTTTGTGGCATAAAATAATATCTGATGTAACATTTTTGATTTTGTTTATCATAATTTATTTTCCTTAACATAACTAGGAGAAAACATAATTTAGTTTTATAATATAACATAATAATCAGCTTTTTATTATAAAACATTAAAATTTGTTAATGCAGGATTAATATGAAAAGAATAGATATATATTTTAATATGAAAAACTGAAGATTAGATGTACGCGGCATGTGCTCTCTCACGATATACATAAACAAAATCGAAACTCCTTCCCGCGCGCTCTGCTATGTACTCGGGGTGACCCCCGAGACACGAAGGCAGCCGAGAACACCCGACTCATCTGGTGCAAAGCCACGCGCATAGTGCGCGTGTCTGTAGCACCCGTCACCAGAAACGCGTCGAACTCAGCCCATCTCAATAAAATTTATGTGTGAAATAAACATAGGTTCACTTTTCTTAAAAGTTACAACTCCAACAGAATTTAAATAATAACAAACACCTTATTGAAATAAAATTAATACAGACTGAACTCAATATTTGGTGGATCCTCCGTTATTTTTAATTACTTGAAAGATCCTTTTCTGCATTGAATTGATAAGTTTATGCAGTGTCTCTGGTTCAATTTAGGACCACGCCTCTTTGATGCCATTTTTTAGTTCTGTAGTGTTTGAATATCGTTTACCATTGGTAACTCGCACTTTTCGTGCGACAATACCCCAAAGGTTCTCTATTAGATTTAGGTCGTGACTTCTTGAAGATCAAGATAAAACCTCAACATTTACCGTTTGAAACCATGTCTTGACGGATTTGGCACGATGAATCGCAGCATTATCGTGTTGAAACATAAAATTCGGTCCACCAATTTCGTCACCAAATTCATTCAACACAAATCCCAGCAGGTTAATTTAGAAACGAATGCGAAAGTTTCATTTAAATTGTTTTCAAATTTTTCATCATTAACGTAGCCTCCAATTCAAACGTTTATTAATTATTCCATTTCAATCATTTTTATTTGTTGTTTAGTGTTACGTCCGGATTGTTTTCAAGAATCCGACCGTAGCTAACATCTATTTTCATTTTCTTTCTGATAGTGTTGAATAGTTTAACCGTTTAATATACTGAATTTGTGTACCTCGTCGGTGCGCAGCACTTGGAGATAATCCCAGGCGAGGCACACAAAGGAGGCTATAATTAGTTCTCTTCAAATAATAAGAAGTTAACCTCCCTTGGGACGATTGCCTCGTCGAAACCGCGTAGCAATAAACACATAGAAATTCGAAATCGCTAAGATTAAGGAGAGGTACTATCAACATCTTTCGCCGCGCGGTTAAGGGGGTAGACACGGCACGTGACCTCTCCGATTTGGCCGGTCGGTATTACAGCAGATTTTTCTGCACCGAAATGGTAATACCCATAGATGTAGGGCAGGCCGATGAAATCGAGAGGGCGCTTTTTTCTAATTCTGTATTCTATTCTGAATGTAAAAGAAATAGTCAGCTGTCGCATTGTACTTGACAAAATTTAAACGCAAAGTTTGGTTGATAGTGCAAATTTATTATACTTTTAATTAATCCAAATATGCTTATACCACAATATGTTACGTTGGATAAATAAATGATGGGAAATCCCAGAAAAATAAAGTTTCTTAGGTTACATCTTTTTTTATATAAAAATACTAAACGGTTAGGTTATGGCTAGATTAGCAAATAAATAGCGAATTATTTAAACAAAAAGGGAAGCCTTTTTTATTAAAAAAATAATACAATAGAACATGAACTCTATACACTTGTAGGATAACTGAAAGCAATTATTGAACAAACATTATGTATACAATTTGGTTGAGACGATTCCGGATCGCTTGTACTATCATGCTGTACACCCTGGTTTGATCTGTAATAAGAAATATAATAATTTCTTTTTGATTTTATACTATTTGAATGTAAAATCTGTTACTTACATTTCCTGATGAATCCACTATTAGGAAAGTAAAAATTAATAGGAGAGTGTGAAGAGACCCACCACCACCCCCGTCAAAGATGGTCCTCTTCATTCTCCACATTTGTACTTTTGTGCCTAAAAGTATGTGTCATACTTACGCTGTCATACATATCATTTCCATTTGATATGAAAGAATTGTTCTCTTCCCTTGCAAAGTAAAGAAAAGTAGCTGAAAGTAAAAATTAATAGGAGAGTGTGAAGAGACCCACCACCACCCCCTTCAAAGACAATCCTCTTGACTCTCCACATTTGTACTTTTGTGCATTTATTGCGGACCTCCTAAATAAATAAATACAACATGATAATGATTATAAATGAATTCACGTATAGGTAATAAAAATAGAGGCATTGTACTTACCTTTTTATACACGTGTGTTCCCGTTTCCTCCCAGATTATAAATTGTTCTCTTCCCTTGCAAAGTAAGGAAAAGTAGCTGAAAGTAAAAATTAATAGGAGAGTGTGAAGAGATCCACCACCACCCCCGTCAAAGATATTATTATACACCTCATCATGTGTGTGTGTGCACCGCCGAGTGTAGTCTCAATAGACTGTAGAACAGCTCATCATATGAGCTGTGGGTACTCGACGGTGCAGTCGCAATAGACTATAGAACAGCTCATCATATGAGCTGTGTGCACCCGCAGGTGCATTGCGACTTTATATTGCAATCGTTTATTATACACTTCATCATATGAACTGTGTGCACTCGTCGGTGCAATTCTGATTTTTATGTACATCGTCACATGTACTTTCTTGTGTACTGGTACATGTATTGTTGCTCTGTTTTATGTATGCAGGCTCTCTAATAGGTTGCTGCCGATTAAATCTGCTGTCTATAATTTCTGGCAACATGGAGTCTTCATAAAACGTTTTCAGTTTTTGCTCCATTTCTGTTGCCCGAATCTGTCGTCTCTTTGTACTTTTGTAATTTTTATTCCTTTCTTTGTCCATAAACAGAATAGACCACATTGTCTATTCGTTATGTGTAACTGTCCTTGCACTTGATAATAGTAATGATGAATTTTATTCATTTCATCACCCCGGAAAATACGCCGTATTGCAGGAAGTTGCTCTATTGCTTCAGCGAGCGATAAATCCTTCGCCGATTCAGGGCATTTCACTTCGACGATAGTATCACCGTCCACGAGGCTGTCAGGAGTTGCACCTAAATAAGGCACAACGGCATCGATGAATAAACCACACGGTAGAATATGGATTCCCATTTCCGTTTCCAATTGTCTCAAGGCATTTGCCTCGTTCTCTCTTCCGTATTCAAGGGAACGCAAATATTGAATTTGCGGATACATTATACTCTTTATCGTATTTCCTCTTGATGTATTCTTTCTCAATCGGCATACCTTGCCGAAATGCGATGCAGTTAATAATTTTTTACGGTAGGCTATCCATTTTTCGCTCTTGGCCTGATCGCGAGTTTCTGCTTCAATTTTATGTCTCATCGTTTGCCACTGAAGGAGTGTAAGCATGTGCCTCTCACACTCAGAAGAGAATACTGCTTCTTCCATATCTGGTTTTTCTGCCGTGGGGCCGTAATCTTTGTCGCACGATTGCTTTTCGTATCGAGAAGAACATGCTTTGGCATTTTGCTTATATTTCGCTGCCATTTGCGATGCATGTTTACGTCGTTGTTCCGTATTTTGTACGATGGCTGTCGGTTCCTTGTTCATAGCAGTACTCAATCGGCTGAACGACTCTCTTGAATTGAAATGAAGAACAGCAGCAGAGACTCTACCCTGATACGAGCCCTTGCGTCCAAAGTTTATTCTTTCGCCACCGATGAATTTCGCAATTATGTTATTGAAACTCTCCACTGCATTATTATTTAATCCATATAACAAGCTTTCAGCTTGAGGAAAGAGCGGTTGCATCGCTTCTTCAATGCTTTGATAAATACCGCATTCTTTCAATTGTGGAACATAGTTCACTCTGTTCGGGTCAGAGTATTTGTTGCAGAAGTATGCTAGTCGTTGACACTCCTGATGTTCACCGAAAACATGGCTCGCTACATTTTTCATGTCTGTTTTTAAATTTTTTATTTGATCAGCGAGTGTTACTTTCTCTTTGAATCGGTATTCTGCAGCTTTTTTCACACCAGTGCGCAGGCGAAGGGCATTCTCTTTTACAATAGCTCGTAATTCCTTGAAGCGGCCTTTTGTGGCGATCTCATTTATTTTTCTACTAAAGTTGCGTAGCAGGTGATTGGTACATTCAATTTTTCGTACATGCACCATATATTCCTTGTATGGATCATTGTCCAATATCTTTTTGTACACACTGCTATCTCCATCGGCAACTAATATTGAATATATCAGGCCGTGCATTTCTATGCTGCATTTAAATCCGTCTACAATAGCAGCACTTTCCATACCAGTTGAATTCTGGTTACGACCCCAATTTTTAAAGCAACGATGCTGCCGTGCCTCTTCCTTCTTCTTGGCAGCGGTTTGGCAAATTATACAAAATTTATTTTTTACATTGATGTAGAGCACCTTTTTGGTGTGGTATCCCACGATGGCTCCTACACCAGACAGAGAGTTGTAATCACCTCCACGGTATGATCTCTTCATCCAGCTGCCATCTGCGACAACTGGAATGCATGGTATATTACAGCCTGGAAGCATATCGCCTCTTGCTATAGCTAGCTCTTTTTCTAATTTCCCTGCGTCTTCTATTTCTCGTTGCGCAGCCAGTTCGAACGCATCGATTATTTCATCTTGGCATTTTTCGTAAATTCTCTTGCTCATGCAGGACACGTTCATGCCAGAAAGTATTTCTTCTAGTTGATTGTATCCGCCGCCTGTCATCATTGTACCGGAAACAGCGCTGCGGTTGATGTCCATCGTGTTATCACTGTTCTGAAGGCACGATACGCACTCAACGTGATTACACATTTGGCATTTTACTTTGTACTTTTTTTCAAGTCCGTTTTGTTGACATCCAATTATTTGGAAGTGTTCCACGCCACAGCCGATACTTGAATGTTTTCCAAGCTGTATTATTTGCTTGAAACATGTTGAAAATCGACGAAATCTATCCCGCTAGAAACTGATTTTTCTTCTAACTGCGGTGGTTCTGCTGTTTCTATTAATGCGTAATCTTCTAAATCTGATTCAATATCTTCACGTTTTCTTCGTACGCTTCAATATCTTCCACGTTTTCTTCGTACGCTTCAATATCTTCCACGTTTTCTTCATACGCTTCCACGGTCGAAAATTCATTCGCAGCAGGCGAATATGGAAGCATCTCATAACTGGTGGAAGGTTCTTCAATCACAGAAAAATCGTCAGCAAGAGGCGAGTGTGGCAGCAGCTCATAAGAAGTGGAAGGTTCTTCAATCGCAGAATAATCAGTCGCAACAGGCGAGTGTCGGAGCATTTCGGAAGAGCTGGTACCTGCATCGTCTACGGTACAGGTGCTCTGACCTACCGCGAGGTACGCTGCCTTCTTCAAACGACGCCTAAGTAGAAATAACACACACACACACATGCAGGTACCAAATAAAAACAGTTGCTTATTACGGAAGGTAGTGTGAAGTTTAACGAATGAAGCGAGTGTGCATGAGAGAGAGAGAGAGAGAGAGAGAGAGAGAGAGAGAGAAAGAGAGAAAGAAACCGAACCGTTCAAATGTTCGAGTACCTTGATCGCAGCTGATAGCTTGATCGCGACGGGTAATCCGACACATTCGAGTCATACAGGATTGCCTCGAAATAAGCAAGTGGCTCGGGACAGAACAGTTGCTTATTTCGAAGCAGGTATGCTATTCGGCTTGACTTTGTTCTCGAAACGGGACGATAGAGAACGCGAGAAACGAGTGAGAGATCCGAGGTAGCGGTAAATCATAAAGCGATCGGCCGAACAGCGATGTTACTTTTTGAAGAAGGATAGAATATAGCATGCCCTCTCATTCTCGCACTATGCGTTTCCGAAGACATGTAGAAGCACATGATCGAAACATGCTCCAATTTACTAATTGAGTGTTATACTCCCTCTTATTTCTTTTGACGAAATATTAGTGCACATCTGTGTACGAATGTTATATAATTATTGCTAGGAATACACAGGACATGTAATTACAAATATTCAAAATGTTCCCTAAATTATTGATATACATAAATGGATATATAATATACGAAAAGATGTTTTAAATGCCACTCTTGAAGAAATAAAGAAAATTTAATTGTGAAACTCTTTTTCACTGGTGCATCGACAAGGAGTTTTGTATATTTTGTATATTGTTGTTACTCGCAGTATAGTAATTCCTCCGAGATTGCGACTGTGTTCGGAATCTAAATGTTGCAATGACGGTAGAGGAGACTCGAAATTCTATGACTGGGCGGCAAGACTCTGTCGCCGCGGCTCGCCTTTGTAGTAAAACACGGTCGTAAAAGAGAAGGATAGCATGAGAGGCTCGAAACACATCAGAATAGCTAATACTAGAATGAGAAAGCATATTCCATCGTTCTTCTACTAATTGCCTTCACCCAAACAAAACATCGGCTTCTCGCTTTCACAGACCTCTCACTCATTTTTCCGGACCTCTGTTCTAAAGGAGAAGATGGAGTGAGAGCCGGAGCAGCGTAAAATAGCCAATGTTTCAATGGATTAGGGCCTGTACTTTTGAAATTTTTCACGTGACAATTCAGTCGAATCACGATATACATAGAATTATTTATAACAGAGCTCGGTAGGATTTGCACTTTTCAGCTGATTTTCAGCTGGCTCCGCGTACCGCTATTCCCCTTGCCGCGATGTTCAGCACGCAACCTACGATCCGTTCGAGGCTCAGGAGCGTATCACTCATAAACGTACGCTGGCAATAGCTTCCCACCTCACCCACGAGGTACTATTGTCGATGCGTTTTTTTTTAAGTGGTTGCCAGCATATGTTTACGAGTGATACGCTCTTGAGCCTTGAATGCTTCGTACGCTGCGCGCTGAACGTCGCGGCAAGGGGAATAGCGGTTGGCGAAGCAAGCTGAAAATAGGCTGAAAAGTGGAAATCTTGCACAGCTCTGATTTATAACAATCCGAGTTTGTAAGAAACGATAATTGATAACAGACATTGTAACCGTAACAAAGATGAAAAAAACGCGGGCATCGCGGGACGGCCGATAAGAGCGAAGCTCAAGTCATAATGCGTAAATTTACAGTTTAGAATTGATTTAGTAATTTCATGGTATAATATTGGTAATGAAAATAAAATGGTTAATATTAGAGAAATGATATTTATTACTATAAATAAATACGGCGAGATCGTCTTTTGTCGCGAGCGTTCTCGTACACACGATCGACGCGAAATTTCGCTGGATATCCGCTTTCAAAACATGTGAATGGGAGACAAATAGCGAAGAGGGGCCCGAGAATTGGAGTCGATGGTACGCGCAATCATGGTAGGCGTCGAACGCGCAAAGGAGAGGTCCAATATAAAAAATGAAAGAAGGGAGAGAATGAGAGAAGGGAATATGTAATATTGTATTACATATTATAAAATACCATGATATTACTGCATCGAAAACTAATGACTTCATGCAAATCTATAATATAAAACATAACTTACCTTTCTTGCCGTTTTTTATTTTTAGATACACGCTTTGCAAATATGGTATAACTCCGATTTTTCTTATTCCCTTTCAAATGCATTCTGCTTCTTGCATTTTCACTTTCTTCTTTTCGTTCCATATTCACACAATTAGCACAATAATGTATAAAAATGAAATAGTTCAAAAGTTATAAATTATACACAACAAGTTATAAATAATACACCACAAATTATAAATAATACACAACAAATGAAAACTCTACTGAAAACTATTGCTTTCTTGCGCGTGTACACCGTTGTGCGTAAAACAAAAGAAAATCAGAGAGAGCATCAGAAATCCAAGATGGTAAGTACCTTCAAGACGCACATACATCCGTGTCTTCCTTATTTTATGAAATAACAAGTTTTTATTATTCACTGTGCATATTTTTAGGAAAAAATGGATTGTAGCCAAGGCAACACTGAGATCACCGAAAATACAGAGCCGAATGTAAGTACCTTTACGCTCAATATCTTTATCACTTTTATTCTTCTATGTGTTGTGCGAGTTCTCAAATGAAAAATCACGATTTTCGGAAATTTTAATCATTTATAATTTTTTAATGCGTTCACCGATATAGATGAAACTTTTAGCATACACATAACTTATCTGAATCTACGAAAGTCATTACAAATTTTCATTATAGACTAACAGAAAAAAGTTGAGAAATTACCATTCTCTATTTTTTTTTTATTTCAACAAATTGTAATTTTTTTAAACGATAAAAATACATATTTTAGTGAATTAATTTTACAGAGAAATCAGGGGAACAGCAACGATAAGTCGGCCAAAGAAGGAAATAAACAAAAAATTCCGGAGGATCCTAATGAATTTCAAAAAGTACTAGCAACATATAAGAAACAAGTATGTATATACATATAATTCCGATTTCTCAGCGTGGAATCAACACCCATATGATTATACTACAATAATTATGTTTATGTTAAATCTTACAGATCTCTGATATGAAAAAAGAGATCAAGAAATTGAAATACAGCAGAGGGGCAAGAGGGGGAAGAGGCAGAGGAGATGGTAGAGAAAGAACAGGGGGAGGAGAAAGCAGAGGTGGAAGAGGCGGAGAACGTAGAGGAAGAGGAAGAGGAAAATGGGGAGGACATGGAAAAAATCAAACAACAATCATTTTTAAATAAAAAAAATAAAAATACTTATTAAATAAAAAAATACTATGGTTTGTTTATTGTACATTATACCCATACCCTAATTATAAGTAAATATAATATTATTAGTACATAATTTTTTAATACATAGGTGTATTTAATAAGAAACATAAAGTAAAATAAGTAAAATAAATACATATTCCAAACAAATTTGTTTTTTAAATTGGCAAGAAGTATTATATCGCGTTTTTTACAGAAGAATAATATTTCTATTTAATTATATTTGTGCATATCTAAGTTTGTTCATCTATTTTCTATTGACTTTTTACAAATTTACTGTAAAGATATTGTCTTTTGTCATGATTACACGTTAGCAGACGTTCTCCTTATACGCCACCTTCTAATCACTAGCTGAACTGAATTTGTCACATGAATTGCTCTGTATTATCCACAAAATGGCGGAACTGGTCTGCGAGAATGCTTTTACGGGCATCCGTTATTCGTCCTTATTTCGCAACAAATGAAGACAAAATAGATCTTCATTTACAGATAAGGGTTGTGGCTAGACCGCTCAACTCATGATTTCAATCACAGCACTCTTTTAGTGGCCTAAAAATGCTTCGATTCCGCGAATGCATTTTGTCGATTTTTTACCTCTTCTTTGGACGCTTATATTACTAAACATCAACATAATCCCACTGAAACATGAGTTGAGCGGTGTGCATTGGACCTTCCTCTTTCGAATAAGCCCTCACCCAGCCCTAAATTTTGTCATACAAGGACGAATAACGGAAGCGCGTACACCCATGTTTATGCCCATTTTTGCCGGTAATGTCAACGCGCTACTATTATCCGTGTCTACCCCCTTAAGCAGTGCGACGCACTTGGAAACTTCCTAGCTTAATCACGCAGAATAAGGGAAATACGATTTTTGTTTTATCTCGCAACTGAAATACCTCTCCTACCTGCAAAGCGTGCGTCAGCTGACCATTCCACAAGGAATGAATGCAATTAAGAACGAAAGCGATTGGTATGAAACGGAATGAAACTGTTTGAATGATTATGGAATGCGAAGGTTTGCGTGACAACCACTGTAGTTTGAAATTTGTCGCCCGATGTTCAAGAACGTTCGAGACAAAGGTCGACCAAGGCAATAAACATCGTCAACGAACTACTGCTAAACGTTAAACGTAGAACGTTTCGAATATACGTAAATCGTTAAAAAATAATGTACACGGAATTGATGTCAACTAAATGCAACACGCATATATTCGCGATTTGACGATGATTATAAAACACCGATTGCCGTTTTACGCAAACCGCCAAACACGAATAAGAACGGAATAATTCATAGTATTCAATTAATAGTCATTCAATATAGTAAATTAAACAGCTATCATAATTAAACCTTTTTTCGATACCGTCAAATATTAGCTAGGAGAGCCTCCTTGATTAGCGAATTCGAATAAAATCAAGTCGTAATAGATTTCGAATATTCCAGAAGCTTTAGAATTGCGACGCATGGAATTCACGTAGCGCTAGAGGGGTAGAAAGAAATAGATAACGTTAGACGAAGGCAGAAAGAAAGGTCAAGAAGGGATGAGAACTCGGGAAACGCGCCTAGACAAACCTATACGCGCGGGCCTTCCCCTTCGACACGTATCCTGATTTGCCACATGATGTCCCTACTTTGGGGTACCGATCGCGGGTCGAACCCTGAGACACGATCGCTTGACTGAGGCAAATCACTCTTCGTCGAAAAATCGTGAGGTACGTGACGGGGAGCCTGTGTTCGCGTCGAGCAATAGTTTTCGCGTGAAAATTGTAGTGATTAGCTGCCCGGTAAAGTCCTTGAAAAAGGCAGAGTGCCGGGAGATTGCAATTCGGGTTTTCCGCGTTAAAGACTCTTACGAATACGTAAAAATTTCATACTTTTCAATTCCTATCTTTTCTCTTTCGTTCTTAAAATCGTTCGCTAATTAATATTTTTTTTTTTCCTTTTTCCGCGTCGCGTGGTTTTTAAATCGTTTTCGCACCGCTTCGTAAATAATCGTCCCGTAACACCGTAGTAAAAGGCCGATCGCGAACGCGTAGTGCAAGTGTCAGTTTTCTCATCTTTTCTTCGCCTTCCAGATTTCTAGACAACACCAGCGACCATTAAGCGAATCCAAAATCTTATCATATATTATTTTACATCGAGCTTGGTAAGTTGTCCATTTCATTTCTATTCAATACGACGAATCTGGATTTAGTGAGGCAAAACGAGCGATCTACGGAACCGCGTGTTCTGGAAAATTTACCACTGGATCGTTCTGTTCAACATTGCGATCTAAGGTATCGAAACATTAATATTTCCAAGTAAAATTCCGATCGCATTCAAAGAAGCCGGCCCCACGAAACCGTGGTTTTGGTAGTATCCCCCTGGGACCGTTCTCTCTTTTTCGCGTATTAATTGTTCACCAAACATCGTCGCTCGAATTATCGAATCAAAAATTCAATAGATCTCATTTTTATATAACTTTATACTTTTCTTGATAATATATATATTTCTTTTGTTTCTTTTGTATTTCAAGCAGCTCGTACTTCCTGTCAACTAACCATTTTATTGTTATGCTTATTTTTCCGAAATTATACTTTTGTCACACCTAACCAGTTTTAATTCATTTGCGTTTCAAACACACTTCCTTCCTTCACGTTCACGCCTACCATCTTCGCACAAGATCATACGAGGGGCCCGTATGGGACCAGAGCATTGACGAACTCAATTAATCTATCAATTAATCGTACTAATTCTTTTTATTGTTCTAATCGTGAGTGATCTAACATCGTCACAAGCGATTAGGACTGGTGGTAGGGCTAATACCGTTCTCAACCGTGTATTAACCACTCAGAAAGTAAAAGAAATAATAATATAAATCTAAACATAATACCCTCTATTTTCCTTTTTCGTTTTAATTTGTACGTCGCGCGCCGTATCTCGCTCGCGACGTAACATTTAGAATGCTTGGAATTTCCTTTTTTACATTATGACAGGCGACAAGAGATTAGGTTCCGTATTCATTTTAAACGACTAAAAATGTTCTACCAGTTCAGTTTTTTTATTGTGCTATGCCAACGGGGTGCCGAGCCGTTCGTTCGCGACCTACGTCAGGCCCGGTTTTCGTAGCCGACATTGCAGTCCCTGAGCCCGCGTGCTGTACGCGCTCAGATTGGTCGGTGTTTTAAGTTAATAACTCGAAAACGAGCCAACATTTTGGCAAAGGAAAAAGTTGTTTAGAATCACCTTAGCAATCATCCCTCTTCGGCTGTTGAGGTAGTCGCGTGACACCCTGTATATCCGGGATTATCTCAGTCGCCAAAATTTATGAAATTTGTTGTTTATTAACCATTTAAATTCGGTCAATTTTTTCCGGTTTATAGTTATTAGCTAAGCAACAGAAATCCAAAATCACCTTACGCTATCCTACAAATACTACTGGTTCCACCAAAAAGTGTGAAATAAAATAATTTTTAACAATAAACAAATCCGACTTCGAAACGCATTAAATAGTGTCAAATAATTTCTATTTCATTTATACCAATATTCCATAGCTATTAATAATATCTACTTAATCGTTAAATAGGATACCAAATACATTTCAGAGTTTTCGAAGGTGGCGCAAAATTAAAAGTACCCGAACAAACGATGCTGCCAGTAACGATTTTATTGCGGTGTGGCAAACTTGGTAATTAATAATTCGAAACGTTATAGATACGGCAGAAAACATTCGTAATTGTAACGATTGTATCAGAAGTTGGTAGCACTTCTGATGTGCATGTATACTGTAATTCACGAGGGACCACACAACTTGCGCAGCTCGCTAGGTCTACAGTGATTTTTAATAACTTGTGTTATTCCCCTCTACAGCTTGTTTCTTATTATACTTTGCGATCATATAAATGGCGGGTAGAAATATATGACGTACGATAATTGATAATCGGTGATGATATTGTAAAGTTTCACGATACAATGAAATTCCTATTATTTGTCGCAAAAAATTGATGTGAACGCAAAGTAAGAAGCAAGCTGTAAAGGGGAATCACACGCACTATTAAAAATCTCCGTAGACCGCAGTAGGTCACTAGCTGCGCGAGTTAAGTGTGGTCACTCGTGAACTGCAGTATAGTTCATTCGCAATGGGTTTGTTGATTCCCGTTGAATATTATTTACTTGAAATTATCAAATGGATGATTTATCATAGGTTGCCGACGCCCGAGTTAGGATCTTCTTAGTAGAGGAAAAGTTTTTAATTTTGCGCCGCCTGCGAAAACTTTGAAATGTATTTGGTATCCTATTTAACGATTAAGTAGATATTATTAATAGCTATGGAATATTGGTATAAATGAAATAGAAATTATTTGACACTTTTTAGTACATTTCGAAGTCGGATTTGTTTTTTGTTAAAAATTATTTTATTTCGTTTTACTTTTTATTATTATAATCAATTTTTTAGTTTAAATCCCGTAGAAAATGTTTAATTTAATTTTTATTATTAACCGTTTGAGTCCCAAGCAGCGTGATCGCGCTGTTGAGATTTTATGTCGAGAAAACCCAGCACATTTCGAGCATTGTGGACAACTGACGGTGCGTTAGCGATTGTCGAAGTCGCGCGCTCAGGTTTACTGATGCAGGTACATCACACAGCTCCTTTTAATGTAAATAGTACATTTTACAATAGGTAGAGTAACACTATAATAATGCAATAATACATTACAAAATAAAAATTTTCATTTCATTGTTATCTCCTCAATAATTTTTATCGAACAAAATTTGAAATATTTATAAATTTACAGTACGCATATGTAATAATACAGATGTATTTTATAAACTAACGGATTACAAATTCACAATATTTTTGTGCTATGAACAAACAATTTAAATGGAGAGTAACACTTATAATTTGTAACATTGGTGTTTATCAAAACATATTGGATGAATTCCTTTTTTACATCGCACGCAAATTAAATGTGATCTTTTTATTGCATTTTTGGAGCTGCAGACTACGCATTGTCGCAAGTTACGCTGTGGCAACTTTACTAAACCAAATGTTTTTTCCTTTACATAACTATGTGCTTGCTTTTCGTTCATCCACTGACACTCGATTTCAAAAATAATATTCGACATAAAATCTAACCGAGATATTGCTTTACTCTTAACTGTTTCCTTGTAGATTATATATGCATTTAAAACCATGCGGTTGATTATGTTAAAGGCTACCTTTTTCCAATATTTAACTGATCTTCGTTCATCGAGATAGGTATACAGCATTTTATCCGATTCATCGACACCACCCATGAAGGCATTATAAGATTGAATAATAGCGGGTTTTGTCGAACGTATTTCTCTGCCATGTCGATTTTTTGTTATAGTCACATTTTGCTCATCTGCTTTCGTTGAAATTAATAATACAGGATTTTTTACACTTTTTTTTTCGCGATATGCACAAAACAATACTTCATTGTCTCGAAAATATTTTACCTCGTTTACATTAGTCTGTTTCAAATTATCGGGAATACATTTCTTATTCCTTCTAATAGTTCCAGTTAAATAAGTATCCATAGAATATAAATATCTAGCTAATTCTACGCTAGTAAAAAAGTTGTCGACGAAAATGTGATGCCCCTTATTCAAACAATAACTATCTTTTAATAAATTCACCACTACATCATATCCAAGTCCAAACTTTTTTCTATCACTAGTAGTTGTTTCCTTTGCACCTTTATAGCAGGAGAACGCCAAACAATATTTTGAAACGGAATCACACAGCATCCAGAATTTTATTCCCCAACGATGATGCTTTTTATTTGGCAAGTATTGTGTTATGCTAGAATGACACAGCGTCCCAACTAACGACTCATCAATTGATAATTCTTTGTGTGGTTTATAGTGCAATTTGGATACTTTATTAGCGTGTTCAAGAAGTGGCTTAAATTTTGCACAGGGATCGTATTTTTCGTGACCAGGTGGAAAACATAAAGGGTTATCAATTAAGTGAAAATATTTCAAAATTTGTTGAAATCTATTTCGAGAGAACATTCTTCGAAACCACGGTATGTTACGTGAATTTTGGTCGAGAAAATCACGTTGATTAGAAACGTCTTCAGCAACTCGTAGACTGTTCAGTGGACATTGATGCGATAAATCACTATCACTATCCTCTGAAGTACTCAAAATGCGTTGTCTTTTGCGCTTTACAGGAACAATGTAGTCGTCATCGTCGTCAATAATATGATCACATGGATTTGTGATTACGCTCATCGATATTCTTTTTCGATTCATTGTACCCTTTTGGGGATACACCAAATTTAGAAAAGTTAAACAGTAAATCTAGATTAACTTTTTACTTACTTTTTGCGTTGCTTCGTCTAATCATTTTGAAACAAACAATTATTAACAATGAGAAACACTTACGGAAGAATACGTCCGATCACTTTGCAAATTGCAATAAATGTGACGGAGCGATGAGAAAAAGAAGAGAATCACGTTACCTAACACCTACAAGAAGCATTATTGCTCCGATTGAGATTCATTGGTATAAAATAAACAAAGCGCTATCGCGCAGCTTGGTATTTCTCGACATAAAATAAAACAAGCGCCATCGCGCTGCTTGGGTCTTTTCGTAGCCATTTAGAGAAAGCGCAAATGCGCTGTTTGGGATTCTTCGACAGTGTTTTTTCAATACCCCCTGGGACTCAAACGGTTAATATTTAGTTAAATTTATAAGAAATATTTAGTTTAATTTGTATTATATATTTTTTGTAATAAATATTTTTCATTTTCAAGAGATAATTCAATCTATTAAAATAAATCGATAAACGTTTAGACGGTAAGACAGCCGGTAAGCTAGATTATCGATAAATTATCGACCTGCGACCACGTGTGCGCCAGCGCAACCCCGATGATCTCGCGGTGGGGTGAGAATCTAGAGTAGGGAGATCCGCGTAGATTAGGGAGCAGGGGTGCTCGGCCGTCACGTGATGGTGAATTCCAGTAATCGAAAGGAATCCTATATTGAAAAAAAAAACGCTAACTCAGCAGAATCTGACTATCAATAGAGGCGTTCCACGCGGTATCAGATCAGATTATCTCCGACTTCGGTCGAATACAGACAGCACTCTGGTAGTAGAGGAAGGCTCTGCGCTGAATTGCTTAGGCAACTATAGAGCGCAAGAGTAAGTTTTATCCTTCTCTTCCAGTGGTGACGTACGAGACTTCGGATCTGTGGATACCCTACTCATGGTACGCAACGTGTTGAACACGTGCTGATACTGAGTCACACACTCAAGTGTAAAGATCTAGCGAGGAGCGGAGCTCCTTGAGCAGGCCTGTATTAACATAGCTCTGGCTAGACCAGAAACCGATTGTGACCTGTAGGCAAAGTCCGCTCGTGTCTGAGGGTACTGTACAAGCCACTGAAGTATAGTTTCCAATACTTAGCGTAGTCGGTGATTGTACAGATTGTTGGCTGTATCCATAGATTAAGGCGCGTACTAATTACTAATCATATATTTTTCATTGTATTTTCTGATCTAGGGCGCACGTATTATAATTTCTTTCTGTATTCCACATTCTAGCCCGCACTTATTGTTATACCAGCATTATTATTTTACATTCAGTTATTAGATATTTACTTACTTGAATAAATCTTTAGTCTAACACATTAATGTTTGGATTTTACTCCTCAACCGCACACCACACGAACCTATAATCCCTAATTCATTCATACGAGTCGCCTTCTTGGGGAACCTCTCTTCCTATATGTCGGTACAGTGACGTACATATCTCTGTGTCGTTACACATGTAGTAATTTTTTTATTAAACTTTGAAGTTTTATCTATAAAATGCCGGTTCATGCATGTCGATATCTATAATACTTTCCGAGTTATGATTTTTTGAAAAAAAAGTGACCCTAAATTTTCAGTCCTTATAATTCGAAAAGTTTAAACAATATCGAGGAACGGAGCATCGATTTTTTGTTCGTACATTGGATTCTACAAGCCTACAAAATTTAACAAAAATCCAAGACCATGTGGGAAAAAGTGTGATCTCTTTGCGTGGAATGGCCCATATCTGGCTGTTTGTTGCGCCGAACGTTGACGCAAAAATTTCAGAAACCTAGCCTTGAAATGTAATATGTTCGGAGCAACAAACAATCACGAAAGTTTCGCGTCGTGACCGTTTTCTGCACCGAACGAATAACGAATTTCGATCTTACCTAGTCAACTGAAAATTCAGATGACTGTTTCTTCCGCGGAGCTCTTCATTTGTCGAAGCTCCTCTGCAATTTTGGTTTTGGTCTAATTTAAAGCGATTTAATAAATCTCTTTTAGTATATTATTCAGTATATTATTATTATTATTATTATTATTATTTAGTATATTATAATTATTTCTATTATTGAGTATGTGAGCGCGATTTGCGTATAAATTAGGATCACAGTGAGTACAAGAAGTATTTTATTATCAAACGGAAAAGTGCGTGCATATGCTCAAAGGGAACACGCGTAGACCGTTAGACAGAAATCGGCAGGCGCGGCGCACGCAGATACAAAGAGAACGCTCGCAACGCATGCGCATAGTCTAAATTCTGCTATTACTCATAAACATGTTTACATAATATTAAATACCAATAGAAATGGTTTGAACGATTATGTGATGCGTGCTTTTAATATTAACAAAAGCACAAAAATAAACAGATCACTGGATGATAATAAATTTAATCTTTCCGATGATAATGTATTTAATCTATCCGATCAATCGAATATAGGTATTGAGAATATAACATTTTCGCTCGTTTTCTCCAACGATGTTTGGAAGACTGTGAAGCCTACAAAGACAATGTATGGTAATCGTAAATATATAACATTCCAACTGGGAAAATGGACCGATATATTTGTCTCTAAAATATGGGAGCAGAAAAAAATTCCATGCGCATTCGCCTTTAAATATGCAAAAGTTTTTAAAAGTAGTGAGTCTAAATATTATGCATGTTTTATAGGGTTTTGCAAAGAATGCAAAGCAAAACTTTCTGGCCATTTATTAAGAAAACCTGAAGGAAATGTAAATGTAATATTTCAATGCAAATTAAACAATTTCAAATCTGGATTTTTACACATAAAAAGGCGTCAATTAAGAGGGCATCTCAATTATTGGAAAATAAACAAGATGCCAGCATTTGGAGAAGAAATGAAGCGAAATATTTAATGGACCATGGAGATCCTGTTCCACCAATGTTATATAATGCAGCAGTGCTTCGAAAATCCAAACAACAAAAATTGGATCGTCGTTTGGAATTAAAAAATAATGATCCAATTCTTAATTTAAACTTGGCAAAGTACGAATTCCTTGTAGGCATTATACGCAATATAGGGCTTGACCCATTCTTTTGCATGTACTGGACGGAGGAACAAAAAATATTATACAAAACTATTATGTGTCGAAATTTGAATAGTTATTTAACAGTCGATGCAACAGGTAGTTTTGCAAAAAAATTGAAGCTTCTAAATAATGAAAAAAGTCCTCATATGTATTTATACCAATGCGTATTAGTAACAGAAACAACCACTTATCCAGATTTGCGGCAGATTGGCAGCAGAGCCTGCAACTTCAGCCATTTAAATTTTAAATGGACGCGCATATACTGGCATTTAAATGAGCTCTTTAAATTCTTATTATTACTTATTTTTTAAGGGAAAAAAAGAAATCTTACAATATTTTTATTTTATTATTAATATACATATGTGCTAGTTATTATGAATGTGGTATAAGTCAAAAGGGTATAGCCGGATAAGATGGTCAAAAGTGCCCCCAAACCAAATTCGACTTGCTATGAAGCATTCGATAGGTGATCAAGAAAAACCAGTCTGTGCCAAGTTTCAACCCTGTATCTCATCTGGGAGGGTAGTTACGGGTAAAAATGTAATTGCGAGGTTTTTGGCCAATTTCTCCCATTTAATGACATTCGAAAATTCTGAAAAAAATCAGAGACATTTCTGTTTATGAGGCACATATTACAGAATTTTTTCAGATTTTTAAATTGAAAACTGAAGCCGTGAAAAATCAAAAACGTCAAAAAATCCTGAAAAATGACGATTTTGTATTGAAGGACCTGAGGTCATACTATCCTACGATCATATTTATTTTATAAGTGTATATTATTGATACTATCATCCTCAATTTTTTTCAGATTTTTGGCAGAGGTGCGCCACAGTTAAAAAAATTAAAAACCGATATTTTTGCTGTTTTTTGCGTGTTAGAGTTACTTATTCGACGAATTTTCGTCTGTTATTTATCAAATACATGGTATATACACTGTTCAATGTTTTTACATGCAGTGGAATAGAATAGGAATTAAACTAAGTAAACCTAATTAATAAAAGTACGTTACGTCCGTTATATTTCAAAAGATTAAAGGTATTTTCAACGGTGTCGGTGGTCCAACGGTAAAGCGTCTGACTGCTAAACCGTTGGAAACTTCTTTTCGTAGGTTCGAGTCCACTCAGACTCAATCTTTTTTTTTTTGGAAATACATTTTTTCAAACTTCTACCTATATGATAATCATTAATATACTTGTTTACAAATGTTTCAATAATATTTTTTAAATATTTTTATCTGTAATATACATAAATACCATTTTGAAGTACTTTCTATTCTACCGTTTCTCTTGTCATGTATTTTGTCAGTTACAGTATTATTTAATATTTTTCATTATCTTTAACAATTCTGAATATGTAGTTTGAAAAAACTGGATAAGTTTGAAATAATGTATTTCCAAAAAAAAAAAAAATTGAGTTTGAGTGGACTCGAACCTACGAAAAGAAGTTTCCAACGGTTTAGCAGTCAGACGCTTTACCACTGGACCACCGATACCGTTGAAAATACCTTTAATCTTTTGAAATATAGCGGACGTAACGTACTTTTATCAATTATGTTTATTTAGTTTAATTCCTATTCTATTCCACTGCATGTAAAAACATTTAACAGTGTATATACCATGTATGTGATAAATAACAGACGAAAATTCGTCGAATAAGTAACTCTAACACGCAAAAAACAGCGAAAAAATCGGTTTTTAATTTTTTTAACTATGGCGCACCTCTCCAAAAAATCTAAAAAAAATTGAGGATGATAGTATCAATAATATACACTTATAAAATAAATATGATCGTAGGACCTCAGGTCCTTCAATACGAAATCGCCATTTTTCAGGATTTTTTGACGTTTTTGATTTTTCACGGCTTCAGTTTTCAATTTAAAAATCTGAAAAAATTCTGTAATATGTGCCTCACAAACAGAAATGTCTCTGATTTTTTTCAGAATTTTCGAATGTCATTAAATAGGAGAAATTGGCCAAAAACCTCGCAATTACATTTTTACCCGTAACTACCCTCCCAGATGAGATACAGGGTTGAAACTTGGCACAGACTGGTTTTTCTTGATCACCTATCGAATGGTTCATAGCAAGTCGAATTTGGTTTGGGGGCACTTTTGACCATCTTATCCGGCTATACCCTTTATCAGTTATATTGAACGGCATAATACATAAGAACTGACAAGTTCAATGTTTTTTACATTTCTATTTACACCACTTTCATAATAACCGACATATATATATATATGTATTTATTAATTTAAAATACATATTTATAATTTCGGTGTTCATTTTTATATTAACAATTTCTGTGAAGTATACTGTCACTCAAAAATTTTAAATCAGGATTGTAAGTACTGCAAACAAAGAGAAGAAATGTGAAATTATATTACTTGTAATCGAATTCCAAAATTGTGACTGCTAGTATTTTATTTATTTCTTCTTTGTTGTGGTGATACCTCTTCTCCACTGCATTTGGGCTGAAGCGAGCGTGCTCGTGTATGCACCGCGTATCCAGTTGCTTTTCCTTGAAACGTCTCCGTTACCGTACACGAAAAAAGAAAGTACAATTCATTAGTATTAATCCAATGAAGAAGTTAGTATGAACAATGAAATTTTTTAAAACGACAAAAGTATACATATGTTAGTAAATTCATTTGTAGAACTTCTCAAAAAATTTCGTCATTTGGTCCAATTTGAAATGAGGTGTTTCCAAACTTTTTTACGAGGGTCGGTTAGGTTGAGGTTAGGTTAGGGTTAGATTAGGATGAAATATTTTGACGAGGGTTGGTTCCTAAGGTTTTTTTTTTCTTTTTTTTGGCGAGGAGGGGGAAAATGCTTTATGCACACCGGGCAGGGACCGCAAGCCCGGTAGTGTGGGACTCCGTATACCCACTAAAAACCCTACTCCTCGTACTTACCTATATATACACCGGAACCGCCTGTTTCAGCATTGCTTTACCCTGATTCGTAGGGTAGGTTGTAGCTTCTGAAAATTGGTCAGAAAAAGTAGTTAATTTTCAAACCTGTCATATAGGATAATGGTAAGAATAATACTATAATAACAAAAACATTTAGTGGGTCATACCTTAAAATTAAAGCCGCTTCATCCTAGATATATTTCTTATTTAAACGCCATCTCCTTCCCGCGTCTTTAGTGTAGCCTGTAAAACCAATAGGAATATCGAAAGAGATACAGAGAGGTGAATACATGTTGCATTTATTTATGTATTTAATGATTTCAAATAAATACTGTACGTGTTTGAAAAGTTGGCAGTACGGCCGAAAATGCGTATGAGCCTAGATGGGGCACAACCAATCAAGCCTGCATTCCTTCCCACTGCCAACACTCGAAACGCTAACAGTAGGAAAATACGTATATATACATATCGATCTTACATGTTGTCGGAATATAGCATCACAACCACGGCGTATTCTCTTCTTTCTTGTTCGTCCTCTTCATTGTCGTCCATGTTGTCTCCAGCAAACGGCATTCGGAAACACTTTGAACAAACATCGTATGGACTAATATTAAATTCGGGGCCAAATATCGACATTTATACAGACCTACCGCAGAGGATTTTATTCCAATATCAAAAATATCACCGACCTCTGTGAATTTCTGGACGCCTAAGCGGAATGTATTTCTGTCCTCAGCAATGGAGGACAGAATACATATGGCGCCGTCGTGCAAGATGCAGCAATTATCGCGTACATCAAGACTGAAGGACATGCCATTAAACTGTATCCTACGATACTGGAGGATATCAGTTCCGCAACCAAGAGGCACAGATACTTTAACATCAGAAGACGCAACGACCCTCACCCTATTTGCTCCATGAGCCTGAATCTCCGCCATTCTGTTCGCGAATTGCTGAAGAGGTAGGCCCGGTTTTCTACAGTACTTCCTAAAAATGCGCATGTTGCTTTCATAGGGGAAAGCAGAGAAAGAATCTACGGGACCAAGACGTCTTACATCATTGGTCAAATGCAGAAGACCATGTACATTATAGGAACAGAAATTTGGGCCATACAACTCTTCACTACGCAGAACAAATTTTTGCAGAGCAAGCTCTGCAAAATTCGGAAACTGACTCGACGGAGATTGTGACGCTAAAATTCTAATAGCGATGTGAAGGAAAAGGAGATGTGTATATAAATTATCATTGAGGAGCCCATATGCCACAACCGGACCTGTATACAACAGAAATTGCCTAAACTCTGTTGCTTTATACTTGGCATAATACACCAGAGATCTTGCGTCTTCCAAACTCAGAGGGACAAAATTCTCTGAGTCTGTCCAGTCTTGCAGACATACCAGCAAGATGGGTACCTGACAATTTGGACAAACGTGAAAATTTTCCACTTATCCATGCAGATAATATTTTTTTCGTGACGCCCAAGCATACCAAATGCATATATTCAAATGGAACTTGAGAAACCATTCCAAAAGGGACTGCAACCTTCTTTATGATGGTCCTCATCTACACATTGAGAGTATTGGTTGTCAGTTCTAAGCACATGCTTTATGCCATTGAAGACATATCTACCTTCGCTGTGCGTACCAGACACTTTGCATTTGGAACAGGGCCGGCTGGATGTATGGCCACGGTGGTTGAGGATAAAAGCTCTTGCTGGTGCATCAGCAATAAAGCATCTTAATTTTATTGGTACCTTAGTACCATCAAGATCTACACCACCGTTGGAAAGCATATGGGTTATGTTCATGATGAACATATTGAAAAGCCTATTAGGATCACTAGGCTTTTGCATTCCTCTATAAATGCCGACAACTATTGGCCTTGCATCAGGTATGTTCCTAATCATACACTGAATCTAATGTGCTGAAATCTAATTCTAATTCCCTATCTGGTGAAAAAGAAGCATTCCTGATATACTTCACAATTTCAGCTTCGACATCAAAATGAATATACCCCCCGGTTCTACAACATATGTAGGAACACGAGTCCGTGGAGTACCCAGGACAGTCCTAATATCCTTCGGGAGGTTGGTAAAGCAGGTATGGGTCCGAAGAAGGGTAAGTAAATTCTTACCCTGAACATGATTGATATTGTTGTCAACACAATAGGAAGCCAAACTTTCCTGAAATGAAGTTTCAGGAACCGCTTCAGAACTACAGAATACTGAAGAAGACAAAGAAGAAGAAGAAGAAGAAGAAGAAGAAGAAGAAGAAGAGGAATAAGAACTGTCATCCATATCTACACCATGGGCGGCATCAATACCATTTGCGTAATCTGTGGAGAATGAAGGAACATCCGCCAGATTAACAGGGGCATTGATCTCTTGAATACAAGAAGAAGAAGGAGAAGCCAACGAAGGGACAACACTATTGGACCCTACCTCATTCCTTATGTTGCGTCTCTGTCTGGTCGATGATATTTTAAATATCGGTTTCCTCGATACTGATAACTTAAAATTAAAGGAACTCATAATTAAAATTACTAATGAAATGAAATGTATGTTAGGAATATAAATGTAAATATATGTATATGAAAAAATAAATGTAAGTAAAAATAATTTGTGGTTAATCTATGAAAAAAATGAATATAATTTAAAAATGGAAAAAAATGGTTAGTAGATAATAGAAAAATGGTGGTTAGTAGTTATAATAGTAAATAAAATATATGAATAATTTATATTTATTAATATGCGATTAGAATAAGACGCTTGTTGCACTGCACTCTCGTTCGTTCAGCGACGCAAAGCGAATGAAACAAAACGGTTGAACGCTGTTTCTGGTATGTATCAGTTATTGCGGGAAACGCTATCATTGGATGCGCATTTTCGTCACGTTGATTTCTCCAACCAATGTAAATACCTCCCGCTCAAATTGATGGATCGTCTTTTGTTTTATAACGGAACGACCGCAGAGATGATCATTCTCTGTTCTCAGGCTCGTCAGAGACGGTACAGACTGCGAAATTCGAAAACATTTTACTGCGATTTTTTTTCCAATTTCTTTATAGGGACTACAGGAGAGAAGTGCAATTGCCAAGGATGAATTCAAATGTAAGTATGACTTTTATTCATTGCAATTACATGTATCGCGGATATGAATGTATACATATTTAAATTTTCTTCAAATATTCTTTTATTACAGATGGAAATGGAACATCGTCCGAAGAGGATGGCCAACAAGCCGGCCCGGTATCAAACCACGTCCTCCGACGAAGAACCGCGAAAGCGTTTAAAGGTGGCCCCCGGAAGTATCGTCGAGGATATAACAGACCTGAGAGCTACCTTGGAGGGCGTGGACGATGAAGTTCTATCTAATAATTATAGACAACACGAACACACGAACACATACACACCACTAGACACATATTCGCCATACACAAGCACATACACACCATCAAACATAAACATATACTCGCCACACACACCACCAAACACATACAGGCCACCTCCAACAGCATATGCACCACCAACGCAAAGTTTTCATATTCCAGATGCAGTGGAGAGCAGGCCTGAACCACGGATGCAGCAAGGTACGGAACCTACAAATCTACAAATAAGGTAAGTTGCATGTTCATTCTTCTTCTATACAATATTGGGAATAAGAATATATTCCTCAATTTCTTACATGTTTAAGCACATTTTCTTACAAATATTAATGTTTACAGGGATCTATATACAAAAATTGGCAACCTGGAGTCCATGGTGACGTAAGTATTGATTGCATGTTATTAAAGTATATATAATTATCATTTATCTTTATAGGAAAACCCATTCATTATTGGAGAAGGTGGCGAAGCAGCAGCAGCACCTGCTGCACCAGCATCATGGAATTCCGTCAAAGCCAGCGTTTCTACCAATTTCATCGTTGGCTGGAATGACGGAATTCCAAAATATTGATGAAGACAGCTACAGGGAAGTTGTAAGTGAAACAGAAGTTTCATTTTATTTATCTGTATGTATCAAATGTTTGTGTCAGTTGTTACTTACTTTGTTTAGGTAAACTATTTGGAGTACGTGGGCGGCTTCAACCTGAAGGAAGCAGTCACTCTCTCTTTTAAAGAAACAGTGAGTGACTGCTTGCTAACATCTTATTCCTGGTTGGGCCGCGAAGATAACAATCTCGCACTTTGCGAGACAAGAATTGTTCATGCTATACACGGTAAGAATCACTGTTTATATAATTGTGATACTATTACTTCATATGGTATTCAGTATTCATATTATATGCTTACATTTGATTTTTAGATGCCGTGCTCCAGAATAAGCACTTCCCAAGACCGTCCCGCAAGGATGTAGCGGAACACTTAAAAGCGGCGCTTCGCACTGCTAAGGAAAGAGTGCGAAGCAAAAGAAGAGGTCCCCGAAATCCTCAGCATGAAACAGTGGATAACTTTTGGACTGCTGAGGAACAATCACGTTGAAACAGGAAGAGGTTAGTTTTGTATTGTATTACATATATAATCATAACCTTCAAACACATGTACTTACGTATGTACTTGCAAGTACCTTCATGCCTTTTTTCATTTACTGCCATAAACTCACTTGTTGGATAAATAACTGTAATACAAACACATCTTTTTCAATCTTTCTCTTCTCTTTCGCTTTCTCATAGCGAGCAATCCATCTATCGCCGATTCAGTGTATGAATAGGAACATACCTCATGCAAGGCCAATAGTTGTACGTATTTATATGGGATGGCAGAGACCGTGTCAACTGTAAACTGCTCGAAACCGTGCTCCAAATCTTTTTTCTTTCTCTACGGCACACGGCACCTCTAGCAGTGCCCTCTAGCAAGAATGTACATATGTACATAAACATTTATACATATGCATAATATTTATAATTTGCAGCAGGCTGGGGTTAAGCCTTGAAGAGGAACTGAAGAAGAACTGAAGAGGATCTGAAGAGAAACTGAAGAGGACCTGAAGATATAATTATTTTATACATTGCTTTTTATTTTTCTGAATTTATATATTATTTATATCAACATTTATATGTTGATTTGTTATGTATATTGTTGACATTGTAAATGTACATTTTTTTGTTGTGAATACTGATAAGGTTTTGGCAGTTTTCCTTATCCTAGCAACAAATGTTGGTATTCGTGAATTTATTCTGCCAAATAAAATATTTTATTTTTTATTATATATTTTGTTTACAGTTCTTTTAGTATCCGTCCCTTTCCTATGATCATGACAATTTTTCAGAAGATTATATATAAATGTACATATACTGTATACATGACAAATGTTTAATGGTATCTTTCAGTTCTTTTATTGAATACAGTAAACGCATTATCAATTAATTGCAATTTATTAATTATCAATAATTTATTTTATAATTTATAATTTTCTTTTTATTTCGCTCGTAGTATTACAATTCATGTTATTGAAAAAAAATATACTGCGCTCCTATCAAATTTATAATAGTTCTTATTCCTGAACACTCGTAATTCGGAAAAAGATTTTAAATACCATTTATATGTATAGTCACTGTTCCGTTTAAAATTTAAATGGCTGAAATTGCAGGCTCTGCTGCCAATCTGCCGCAAATCTGCCATAATCCCCGTGTTGTTCTACACAATTTTAAACGCTCTAAAGATATGAAGATCGGCATAGAGAGACGGCAACTCAACCAAAAAATTTTTTACTCTGAACGTTGTGACCTCTAGCAGACAAGGAAGGAGCTACACTAGTAATCTCTTCGAACGAGGCTCTTCATATAATTGCGATCGAACTTCACTTACAGGTAAGTTCGATTGATCGTTCAATAATATTCACAAAGTGACGTCTCAGGCGTTGTACGTCATGGGAATAGTTTTCTGAGCAAACCTATGGTAGTGATGTATGCCGCCGCGTATACACCACAACTGTAACAATCCGGTTGCGCTTGAACTCTTTCAAAAAGTATATCCTTTTTGCGAATATGAGGAAATCGTAATGCAATATACTTTTTTTCTTCTTCTACGAGCTTATCATATGTACTGCCAGGTAAACTGTCGTATACATGGAGTTTGTGGCCGTCGAAATAGATACTTCGCCAGTGATCAGAACAGTTGCCTCCAATTATTTGCACGCTTTTATCAGTACAGCAGGGATTGATAAATTTTGTAAACTGTAAGTATAGGACACTTTGCGTTTCAAAAGGAGTAGTTTCTCTGACGACACGCAAAAATCGATCTAACGATTCATCGTTTAATTTACTTTGCACAGGTAGTACATTTTTCTGTACGTCAGTTACGGAAGAAACAGTAGTCTCCAATATATAGTATCCTACATCATCATCTATGAAGTTTTCTTCTTGGTCTGAATGACTGACAATGACACACTCGCTAGTTACTGCTTCAACGTATATTTACTTGATTACTTGGTAATATTTGATGCTACAACACTGTTCTGTGTCATATTTTCGTATGTACGCTTTTCTGCGATTTGTCTGCTACATTTTTGAATGGATGCGGTGTCTTCTTTTGCCCGTAGTATGTATTCTGGATTTCTAATAGGCATGTGTCTATTGTGGCGGCTGTCCAATATTTCCAGAAGCATGCATCCTTCATAGAAGCGCGTTACGAAAGGTTCCATATGATTTGTCCAAAATGCGTCGTCCCTATTTACGCGGATCATATGTATGCTTTTAGGTGTCCAGATAGCGAAAATACAGTACTTCCGCTGCGTTATATGCAACTGACCTTGTACTTGGTAGAAATACTGGTGCTTTCTGTTCATTTCTTGTATATCTCTCTTATCGAAGATGTTTCGTAAGTGACGTATTGTTTCTATTGCGTTTATCGCTGTCAAATTCTCAGCAGATTGTGGGCATTTCAGTTCCAGTAAACCGTCATCGTCGATAAGTCCATCAGGAGAGGCACCCAAGTATGGAATGTCGCGATCTATGAACAAGCCACAAGTTCGAATTCTTGTTTTCATTGCGTTCGCTACGTCTTTTCTTGCAATGTGTTCTTTATAGCGGCCGTATTTCATAGCAGCGGTATCGACAGGTGGAGGATATAAAATGTTTTTCGCCATTGCTGCGCAGGACGTTGTTTGTCTCATGAGACATACTGCTCCAAAATTCGAAGCAGTTAGCATTTTCTCTTTTAAAGCTCTCCATAAATCTGAATCGTTTTGCTCTCTTGTGTTCGTTTCTATTATTGTACGATTTCTGGCATTGTCAGCAAGCTTTTCAAAATGTTCCTTCCAAAGTTGAAGTAGTATATCACTCGGAAGATCTGGTCTTTGCGAGTTTGGACCATAATATCTATCCGTTCCTTGCACCGGCTTAAATTTCCTTCTCTTGCCATGGGTCATTCGCAATTCTTTCGTTTTCGCAACTTTTCTCTGCCGCCGTTCCTCCAATCTCTTTACTAGTGGTGGAATGGTTTTACACATGTTCTTATGCATTTCTGTAAGTTCTTGTTGCGTATTGTATTGCGTAACAGCTCCTGCAACTCGAGCATTGTAGGAACCTCTTGCACCAAAATTAATACGTTTTCCACCAATCTCTTTGCAGATAATTGAATTAAATGTTTCTGCGGGATTGTTTGTCACATTGGTTAACAAACTATCCGAATAGCAGCTGAGGAATCGTATGGCTTTCTCGACTTCGATATACAGACCGTACAATTTCAAAGATGGAATGTAATCTTTCTCAGCTCTGTTTACGTCACGCATACACGTATGGCTGCGGCTATTGTACTCCTTGTGCTCACCAAATATATGGCTAGAAATACTTAAAATGTCCATCTGAAGTTCTCTACCTTTGATATGTTGAGGTCCTGTTTCTTGTTTTCGCGCATTGACTGCTAAAACGACAGCTCTACGAATATCTAAAATATTTTTTTTAATTATATTTCGGTACGCAACAAAGCCACGATCTCTGTGACCCTTCGTTTGCGTTTTTTCAGCTACGTGTCACAACTTTTTACACAAATTACGAAGTAAGTGATTGGTACACTCAATTTTTTTAACGGTTACGTTTTGCTCTCGGTAACGTCTGTTATTTACAATATTATGATATACGTTACTATCACCGTCGGCAACAACCGTTCTATATATCAAGCCATGCACTTCAATGCTGCATTTGAAACCTTCAGCAATAGCATCACTTTCCATGCTACTAGAACTAGCATAACGATCATAGTTTTTATAACATTTATGATGTTTTGGGGATGTAGCTTTTCGTTCTGCTATATCACATATTGTACAGTATTTATTGCGTATGCCGATAAACAGAACTTTTCCTGTGCGGGAACCTACAATGGCACCAACACCGGAAAGTGAATTCGTTCCATACGATCTTTTCATCCAGCTACCATCCGCTATGACAGTTATATACGGGATACCATCGACTACTTCATTGTTTTTAAAAACTAATCGTCTTTCTTCTTCACCTGCTGCCTGCATGGTATGCATTGCGCTTTTCATAAACTGATCTACAAGTTTTTCACGGTACCTCCGGTACGTCGTTTCAGCCATGCAGGGCATGTTCGAGGCCCCACTCGAGGTACTCAAGCATCAGCAACTTTCACCAGTCTCAATTCGGCAGTCATGCAGTCAACAACAGAAGTGCGCACTAATTCGCAAGGCACACAGGCCTATGCTGCATGGCTAATGCATAGCAAGGCTACGCAAACTGGCGTTGAGCTAACCTATCACACGCCAAAAGGGCCACAACTCCGCACGATCCAGCCAAGGCCCTGGACGAAGACAAAATCCGGCGCCGCACGTCGTGGGCGACACACCCAAGTAACGGCCAAGAAGGTGGACGGCCGGACCCAAACCCCCAAACGAGGGTTGGCGCGGCAGCGGACTCAACAACGCGCCACTAGACGCAGGCGCCGCGCAAGGCCGCCGGTAACCAAACAGGTGGACGCCTCGGAATCATGCGACCTCCGTGCAGAAGGTTTCATGGCCAGCCATGAAAATCATGGCCCATCCACCTCCATGGGCACCACAGTCACAGAAAAGTCAACCCCCACCGTACCGGCAGAGGCCATCGGCGACCCAGCGATCACCCTGGAAGATGCGATGGTAACCATCGCAGCCATCCAGTCCAGCACCGAAACGGATTGGGTCATCCCACCGATGCCGGACCCAGCGGCTCAGGACCCATACGACCTGGATCAGTTTGTCGATATGGGAACGACATCCGACCAGGAAATCGAGGTACCAAAACTCGACATGCAAGATCCACTGGGTCTGCTTAGAATAACGGAGGCAATGATTGATGCGATGGAGGATGAAGACCGAGGACCCAGTTAAGTGAAGTGACTAACAGTGACAGAAGCATGGTTATAGTTTTTTTTTTGTTTGTGATTATTGTTTTTTTTTTTTTTGAAAGACCGAGAAGCGTTCCTCTCCTTTTTTTTTATTTTTCGATCATTTACATGCGTGAAGGCATATAACGCCCAATCTCCGTTTTTTTTTTTTGAGAAACCAAGACCATTTTATTTTCTTTTCTTTCGTTTGAGACAAGTCATATCAATACAGTAAAATCTGGATAAATGCAACGAAAGAATGCTTGGATAAGTGCAACATCGCTATCCCCTCCACTTGGGGGGATCCCCCTAGGCGAACCGAGCCGCTCGACAAGGAAACCGTGTAATATGATCCGACCGTAATATCGACGTGACTAATACTAATTGAACGATAAAACTTTTTTATTTTTAACTTTTTCCTAATGAAACTTTTACTAACGCATTTGTGAGATGTTTCTGATTAAAATGACACCAAACACGATATAGTTTGAATTATATTTATAAACAATAGGAATAGAATAAACAACATAGAATTGACACCACAACTGAATATAAATGATGTCGGCTAAATACAAAAGATGTGTACGGACACAGAATCGGCATGTCGACTGAATACAAAACATGTGTACGGACGCAGAATCGACACCTCGCTTGGATAAATGCAACATTAAATGCCCAGAATCGACATCTCGCTTGGATAAATGCAAGATTAAATGCCCAGAATCGCCACCTTGCCTGGATAAATAAAACCTTTGAAACCAGAGCCGACACCGCGACTGGTTTTGATTTCGATCTCTGTTGCTTTTCGCCGACCTTTAACATCAATTTTAGCAAGTAATTATAATTGAAACTATATCGTGTTTGATACCATTTTAATGAGAAAAATTTCACCAATGCGTTAGTAAAAGTTTCAATAAAAAAAAGTCAAAAATAAAAAAGTTTTATAGTTGAATTAGTATTAGTCACACCGATACGTTTCGGCTCTTTCCTTTCATCATCGGACCTCTCTCTTTCCGCCACTGTCTGTCCCTTTCTACGTTCTACGTCGCGTGTAACCCGAGATTCGACACCTCGCTTGAATAAATGCAACCACTGGGTCCCAATCTTGGTTGCATTTATCCAGGTTTTACTGTATTTCTTTCTGTTTATCTAGTTGTAAGTTGTAAATAAGTGTGTGATGGATGTGTGGAAGGCTATGATAAATTCGTTTTTTTTTTATTTGATTTATACCGGTAACACCAAAGAGGACATTTATTTTTTTTTTTGTGTCATATGACCGAGTCATATATATATATTTTTTTTTTTATTTTTGTTTTTATCTAATGTAATCACAGTTTCATTTTTTTTGTTGTTGTATGAATGGGGGAGTGAGTGTCGCGTTCATTAGTACCTATCAGCGCTCTAGATCCGAGAGGGGGGTATATGTAACCGTACATTTGTACAGTTACATAGTACAGTACAAAGTAACATAGATTTTTCGTAAGAGATCGGAACTATAGCGATGGTACGTGCTATCCCTACTTATTCATGATAGTGGAGCGCGTGCGCGGATCCCCTCCTTCGAACGCCGGATCGAAGGAGCTCAGTGTCGATCCATCGATCGACACTCTGGTCCCAAACGACAAGCAGAACGGACGCTTTCGCCTACGGCTCTCTTCATAGAGACAACCGTCTTAAGATTGCGATCCAGCAAGTCGTGACTAGAGCCCGAGCTTGGACATCTCCCTTTCATTTAGGAGTGGCCTTCTATCTTGGGACTCAGCACCCTCGAAAGATCGCTCTACACAGGCATATCCGAGACGTCGTTGATTCCTAGGGAAACCTAGCCGAGTCATCATCGTTTTGCTTGTGCTCTGGCAATTTTACATTGCAATTTGGAGGGCCGTGATCTCGCTCTTGGCAGTCTTCATTTCTTCCTTGAGTACGCCGTGTACGACAGGAAGAACGTTGACGGATTCCGGCAAATCCACTGTTAACGGATACTCTCAAATTCACGTATTTCAATCTGCAAAGGAGTCCAGGGTCGGGACTTAGTGCGCGACCTTCTCATCCTTTGATTGTGAGTGAAATCGTGAAGTCAGTGCCCCTGTCGATCTGAGGTTCGCAGGTGAAAACCTCGCTGGACCGGAAGTATCCTCGGAATCCACTGGCTCGCCATTCTGCGATTTGAGAGGCGCGTTAAAGCTAATATTTCGCTGTACGGTTAGTAAATTTAAACGTTCCTTTTTTGCCTACGCGCTCCACGATCACGCGACCGTCGTGCGTCGTGATTTCGGTGTATGTTTTCAAGACGAATCGAGCGAACAATAACTCGTCCTTGGTGAAAGGCGTTTAAATCGTAGACGACCGACGAAATTTTGTAACCGTCGTGTGGATATTACCTTTCGCATTCCGATTAGAGTCACGGTATTGCGTTCTGGTCCTTTTTGGTATATTCTTTTATATTTTCGTATATTTTCTTATATTTTCTTAAATGCGTTATTCAACCAGTCATTTTTCCGTATAAAAGAAGACTGAGTTTTTTGAGTCGCGTTAAAGTCGCTCGACTGGTTGAGATCTTTTCTTTGCGTTATATTTCCTTCTATTTTCTTAGGTTATATTTTATTCAATAATAATTATTCCGCGATACTTAAGGTGCGTTATTCAACCAGTCATTTTTCCGTACAAAAGAAGACTGAGTTTTTTGTTAAGTCGCGTTAAAGTCGCTCGACTGGTTGAAATATTTTCTTTTGCGTTACCATTCTTGTATTACATTTCCGATTCGTGTAAATCCGATCTGCGTGCCCAACACGAATTATTGATGATTAATCTACTCAGGTCCGTTGTATAGTATATTTTATAACAAGCGCGTCTATTGAACATCTATGAGATGAGAATTGCGTTCCATTGATTGTTAAACGCGTAAACTGCCATAATATTTGCGGTGCTTCCACCATTCTGTGATAGGCTCTTTTGCCATACTCCAGTCACTAATATTTTTGTTGAATAAATCAGTATTTTGTTACACCGCAAACCTACGTCTCATTACTGACTTCACCGTTCTTTCTGCCTTCGCGAACGCGTAGCGAACGCGAACCACTCCTTGAGAATCGTAGGGGAAATCGTACGCTCGTACTACTCGCGTTCATTCTCCTCCGTAAAGAGTAGTAAAATAAAAACGTTACAATATATATATTTCTTTTATTGTATTTGTAAAATATTTCTTTGATTTTATTATATTTCTTATATTTCTTTATTTTATTCAATATATATATTTCTTTTATTGTATTTGTTTTAATAAATATTATATTTCGTTCATTTTGTTATATTTATTTCATTTTATTATATCTTTTTATTTTATTCTATTAGATTTTATTATATGTATTTCTTTTATTATTCATTTTATTATATTTCGTTCATTTTCTTATATTTATACATAAAAATATATATCACAAATTACGTTATTATCATTTATTCCCATATTCCTTTTCCTGTAGGA